ACTAAAAACACCAGTTTGTAGTGGTTTACTGCGTTTTGACGTGTTTTTCAGTGTTGGAGCATCTTTGCAGCTAAAAAAATACCCTAGAAACCCACTAATCTTGCTTTTTTTTTTTTTTTTTTCTTTTTCCCAGCCAAAAAACATTGATTACAGTCTATGTGCATGGACACATAGGATAACATGCTGGGGGGGTTTACTAGCTGTAGAAAAAAAAACATCAAAAGCCAAAGATAGCAGCTGTAAAAACAACCAGTGTGCATAAGGACTTAGATGGGCACCAATCAGAGTCCCTGAAACGGCGGTGTGATGACAGCACGTAAGGCCCCTCCCAGCCTCTCCAGGCTCTGAAAGGATCCTGACAATATTCTTGCGATCCATCTGGATACCTGATAGACAGCTGGCTCCGCCTCTGCAACATGCAGCTTGGAGCCAGCTGCACCTGCCCCCTCTAGTGAGTGTTGGAGAGTCATAGGGGAGAGAGCAGTGACTGACTGTCACTGCTCTCTGATCCAAGCAAACCATGAGCTGAGCAAGTGATAAATCAGTTCTTGGTCTTAGGGCTGATGTTGTACAGCGGCAGCATCATACTGATACTGCAGCATGGACATGAGTATGCAGTGTTTATTTGCTTTTGTTTTTTTGTTTTTTCTGTTTTTTTTTTTTGTTTTATACATAAGCCCACACTTTAAGGAGGCTGTAAGAAGCACAGATGTTGGAAGATTGATTTCTAAAGGAACTGTGACATCAATCTCTGGCTGTTTCCTATAACAGAGAATAGTAAACATTTTTTAAAGGAATAAAAATAGGGTGTTATGCAGGGAGGCTGGGGGAAATTTTTTTTAAAAGGTTAACTTGTCTTTTTAAGCCTGAGTGGCATACAGGCACTACTACAGCCTACCTGCTTGGTAAGCCCCTGTAAAGTACCTGCTTGGTACCCCCAGTCTCTTTTTGTTAGCCTAGGTCTGTTCTGGAAACCTCTTTTTATGACATATGTATAATGTAGGAAAACTATTAATTATCCCCATTATAGGTCTCAGCTGTGTTTTGTGTACAGAAGGTGTGATACAATGTATTGTAGTAAAAGGAAGGTTTCTTACAGCTACCAATATATTCAGATCTTCCTTGGAGGTTTGAATCCTGTTACAGCAAGCTCAGAGAGAGCGAGAGAATATTGCAAAGGTTCCAGGAAACAGACCCCCTTACCACAGCTATCTGAAGTCTGAAGGTAGTGGGTTACACAGAGCTCTGATATCTTTCTGACCACGGTGCAGTTGTAATTTGTTAACACAGTTGCAGACTTTACTGAATAGTATTAGCAGTTCTCTTCTTGATTTCATTGATTGCACTGTTCTCTGCAGTTGCTCTTTAAAGTGGTTCTAAGGCTCCATTCACATCGTGAGCGTAGCGTTTTTGTACGCATTTATGTACGTTTGCAAACGTTTGTGCACGATTTCCTCAGGCGGTTTCCGGCTTTGAGTTCTGGTGTTCTTGGTCGCACAACAAAACGTGCAAAAGCACATGAAAACGCACGATTTGCACATTTCTATGAGAATAAAAATGCACCACAAATGCATGAATCTGCCTGAATGGAGCTACAAAAGTAGCTCCAAAACTTTTTTGAGCTTCAGGCGTTCTGCTTCAGGCAAATTGGTGTGGAGATGTGAACCATCTCCATAGAGTAATATTGATTTTTTTTTTTCTCCTTGGGCATTTTGAAGCTTCACGCTACAAAACTCTCAGGTGTGAATGGGGCCTAAAGGTACAAGGTTTTTTTTTTTTTTTTTTTTTCCCCCCTTAATGCATTTTATGCATTAAGGTAAAAACCTTCTGCATGCAGGATTCATTGGCTCATGCGGCTGTCAATCACAGCCAGTGGGGGGGGGGGGGGCGGAGGGGGACTGAGCTGTGCTTTGTGTTTTAATGGACACAGAGCGGGCTCAGGAACAAACACACACAAGTGCCCTCAGAGCACGTAGCTTGCTATGGGGGCACTTGGCAGGGGGGAGGAGCCAGGAGCGATGGTGGGGGGACCCAAAAAAGAGGATTGGGGCTGATCTGTACAAAACTATTGCACAGAGCAGGTATATGTTTGGTATTAAAAAAAATGCCTTTAATCGCTTTAAAGTTGAAAGTTAAGGAATTAAAGGGGCTGACATTGCTGACCTGCTTCTGGAGGTGCCCTAGAAATGAAAGCAAGCATTTCATTGGTTACTGTGAGCAACAATGATTATTATTATACAGGATTTATATAGCGCCAACAGTTTGCTCAGCACTTTACAATATAATGGGGGACAGTACAGCAACAATACAGTTCAATACAAGAGGGATAGGAGGGCCCTGCTCCTTGGAGCTTACAATCTAGGAGATTATAAATACTGCAGGCTGAAAGTAATGTGAAAATGAAACCAAAGATTTAGTAAAATGCTTATCAAGAAAAACTTTCCATGGTTTGTATTTAAAATTCTTTAGATTTTGGATGCATTCAGATTTCTCCCTTACTAAGGCTCCGTTGCTCTGAAGCTGAGAACCACCTTCAGGGTTTGCACGCAATGAGACTTGTCCACTCAGTACTTGCCATTGTCTTTCCTCATCTTTCAGGCTTCATAGTATTAACATTTGGCTGTGAGCCAGTTAGTACAATGGCAAATAAAGGTGTAGCACAGCATGCATACTGCTCTCAAACAGGCGATAACAACTCTTATAATGCAGTGATTGTGTGGCGCAGTTGTGATTTTCAGCAATAAATATGAGGAAGCATTTTACACACCTTTTCACTGGTAAACCAACTATTTCTCGATCGCTTTTCTTTTTGTTTTGTTAAAGGGGTTGGATTGATTTTTATTTTACATTTTTCCCTGCATTGACTTTATAATTGTAAGGGTTTTTACATGGTATAAAAATCAAAAAAATGTGGCGCTACTCATAGAACTTAAAAAAATACTAATCAAAACATTTTTTTAAGTATATATAACACATACAATATACCTCGTGAGATGAATATACATATAATAATCAAGTGGTCATAGTGATCAAAAAATATATATTAAAACTAATATCATAAAAAACATAGTGTATAAATACTGTGTATTAAAAATTCGAACACAGGAAAGCAATAAATGATTGTAATAATTAAACTGTGATCAATCATGCAAATATGGTGCAAAAAATGTCACACTAAAACACAAACAAAAATAAAAAATGTGTAGACAAATGTCCAATGGGTGGGTGACACCACTACTGCAATTGCAAGCACACGTGATCATTAAGTGACTCCAGGTGCAGAAACTCCAACACACGGCTAGATTAGCCTCTCACCTCCAGGCTTCGACCCGTGAAGGTCAAAGCGTATAGTGGGATCAAACCCTCAAATCCTCTCAGCATCTACTGATATCCACTGATCCACTTTCCCCATCCATAGATATCCTTCTCTAGGGGTCGATAATCAAGCAGTGGCTCCTCTTATGGGGTATGGGTATGTGCCATTCACGGGTCGAAGCCTGGAGGTGAGAAGCTAATCTAGCCGTGTGTTGGAGTTTCTGCACCTGGAGTCACTTTATGATCACGTGTGCTTGCAATTGCAGTAGTGGTGTCACCCACCCATTGGACATTTGTCTACACATTTTTTATTTTTGTTTGTGTTTTAGTGTGACATTTTTTGCACCATATTTGCATGATTGATCACAGTTTAATTATTACAATCATTTATTGCTTTCCTGTGTTAGAATTTTTCACAAGATTAATACACAGTATTTATACACTATGTTTTTTATGATATTAGTTTTAATATATATTTTTTGATCACTATGACCACTTGATTATTATATGTATATTCATCTCACGAGGTGTATTGTATGTGTTATATATACTTAAAAAAATTTTTTGATTAGAATTTTTTAAGTTCTATGAGTAACGCCACATTTTTTTGATTTTTATTTTTTTTAGATCATGGGTATTTGATGTAGTGTTGGCGGCTTCTCTCTTTAGTTGATTGAATACAATTTTTTGGTGTTTAGTAGTGTGGGAGGTTCACACCATCCCTGTTAGTTCATATTATTTTTCATATTTTATATTTTTTGGTTATTCAGTAGCGCAGGAGGTTCACACCATTTTTTTTACAGGGTATGTCAAGGCAAATAAAAATGGTGCACCTTTGCATTACAAAAACCCATGCTTTATCGTTTGAAACACTCTGCAAAGCAGAAAAATAACTCTTGACATGCCAGAGTTTAGTAGGCTCCTTAAATCCTTTTTGACATGATGGCACAGTGTGATTTTTGGCTCTGAATTCCATCATGTCAGCTTTACCTGCTTCAATTGGTTGTAAAGGCCTAAATAATATATAATGTGATCTTAATTATAATTTTTTAAATAATACATAAACCCAACCTGTCCTATTCCTGATATGTGCTTGCTGTGCGATGTTTGAAAAAATATTCACTGGAAAGACCAGTATAATGCTGTTTCTCTCCTCCTCTAGCTCTTTGAGCTCCTCATTCAGCTGGGAACAGAAAAGGGTATGTGATCACTTTTATGAAAAGAAGGGGGAAAATGTGCTTCTATATCTATACACAAACATTTTGCCTTTTGTTTCTATTTAAAATTGAATGGATTGTTTTACAAAGTCAGAGTTTACATCCTTCAATGCTCAGCGTCCCCCTAAATTCCTGAGCCCGATCTTGACCCAGCGCTGCACCAGAGAGCAGTGGCTCTCTCCCTCATCTCCAAACGTCAAGGCAACAGCGTGAGTTATTGGCTCCTGCTGCTGTCAATTACAGTCTGAGAGTAGGGGGAGGGGCCGAACTACACTGTCTGTGTCTATAGACACAGGAAGCACATCTCGGGAGAAAGTGGCTACACTTTCCACCGAAATACTAATTTTGTCTGAATAGTTTTTTTTTAGTTGGTAGTAATTTGTGGTTGAGCACATTTTACATTAAGCTACATTTATTATCTATTACATATATTTTGATTGTAATGCTTCTTCATATTTTGTTTTCAAGGTTTTTGGATTCCAAGCATAAAAACCATTACAAGATCTACAATCTGTAAGTATTTTTGGAGTGTATATTTCGATTTCCCACTTTCCAAAACACTTCAGGTCAAATGGCCTTTTAGGAGAAAGTTTCTTGTTAATTTCTATAGAATAGCTAGAAGGGTATTGTTTTACTGACTTCTATGCCGAAAACAATTAGTTGTTGGAGCCTAATGGAGACTTCAGTTAGCTTGGTTATGTTAGTAGAGTGACAAGGTTAAATGGAATTTTGGCAGGCATTCATGTTACTTGATCTACTTTTAAATGACTTGGAAACTAGCCCACTTCATGGGCTGTGACCATGTGCTGAATGGTAATAGAACGCATGGACAATGTAATGACTTGTGGACTTTTGGGAGAAGCTCCTGGAAATCACACAGGTGAATGTCTTCTGTCTTTCCTCACAGCTGAGAACAGGTTTTTTTTTTTTTTTTTTCATGCTGTGTAACCCCTGTAGCTTTGTCCTATTGTGAAGAAATTAGCTGCACACATTGGTGTACATTTAGGTTTTGCCATATAAACACTCATCATTGAATTTCACTCTTCTAAAAAGTATTAGCTGTTACTTTGTTTATCTAAACCTTTGCTTATCAGACTGTGTATTGTGCGTAAATTTATGTGCATTGCTCATTGACTGCTTACATTTTAAATGATGAGTCTGCTGACGTTTTGTGAAAACTATAAACAATCATCCTTCCTGTGTATATATACACTATATTGTCAAAAGTATTGGGACACCCCTCCAAATCATTAAATTCAGGTGTTCCAGTCACCTCCATGGCCACAGGTATATAAAATCAAGCACCTAGGCATGCAGACTGCTTCTACAAACATTTGTGGAAGAATGGTCACTCTCAGGAGCTCAGTAAATTCAAGCGTGGTACCGTTGCCATCTGTGCAATAAGTCCATCCGTGACATTTCCTCGCTACTAAATATTCCACTGTCAACTGTTAGTGGTATTATAACAAAGTGGAAGCAACTGGGAACAACAGCAACTCAGCCATGAAGTGGTAGGCCACATAAAATGACAGAGCGGGGTCAGTGCATGCTGAAGAGCACAGTGCGCAGAGGTTGCCAACTGTCTGCAGAGTCATTAGCTAAAGACCTCCAAACTGTGTGAGGCCTTCAGATTAGCACAACAACAGTGTGTAGAGAGCTTCATGGAATGGGTTTCATCATCAGCTGCATCCAAGCCTTACATCACCAAGTGCAATGCAGAGTGCCGGATGCAGTGGTGTAAAACATGCTGCCACTGGACTCTAGAGTAGTGGAGACGTGTTCTCTGGAGTGACCACTCTTCTTTGTCTAGCAATCCGATGGACGTGTCTGGGTTTGGCGGTTGTCAGGAGAACGGTACTTGCTTGACTGCATTGTACCAAATGTAAAGTTTGGCGGAGAGGGGGGATTATGGTGTGGGGTTGTTTTTCAGGGGTTGGGCTTGGCCCTTTAGTTCCAGTAGAGAGAACTCTACATCAGCATACCAAGACATTTTGGACAATTTCATGCCCCCAACTTTTTGGGAACAGTTTGGGGATGGCCCTTTCCCTTTCCAACATGACTGTACACCAGTGCACAAAGCAAGGCCCATAAAGACATAGATGAGCGAGATTGGGCTGGAGGAACTTGACTGGCCTGCACAGAGTCCTGACCTCAACCTGATAGAATACCTTTGGGGTGAATTAGAGTGGAGACTGCGAGCCAGGCCTTCTTGTCTGACATCAGTGCCTGACCTCACAAGTGCTCTTCTGGAAGAATGGTCAAACATTCCCATAGACACACTCCTAAACCTTGTGGACAGCCTTCCCAGAAGAGTTTAAGGTGTTATAGCTGCAATGGGTGAGCCAATTCAATTTTGAACCCTACAGACTAAGATTGAGATGCCGTTAAAGTTCATGTTTGTGTAAAGGCAGGCATCCCAATACTCTTGGCAATATAGTGTAATTTAAATGGTGAATGGCACATGTAGTTTCATGTTGGTGGATTACATTACATACGTATGGAGCACATGCAGCACCTGCTTTTCTCCATGTTCTACTCCCCCTTTCTCAGCTAAATGCTAAAGTGGAACGCCAGGATTTCAATGCAATTTTGTATTATTCTGAAAAGCACCCCAATATACCTGCATGTTAACAAACAATGCAGCAGATCAAAATTGCACTTGGTGCTTTGGATAGAGGCAGTTAAACACTATAGAAGGATGTGCTTTGTTTGTATTTCATGTCAGAGGTTTACAGCCACTTTAACAATTTAGCCTTTAACTGTTGGAGTAGTTTAACCACTTCCTGTCCAGCCGTTGCACAGTTATATAGCTTGATGGGGGCTTCCTGGATGTGGGTGGCCGCGCTAGGGAGAGAGCAGATCAGGGTACAGGGCCAATGAAATTGTCCCTATACCATGTGATCACTGTAACCAATCATAGCGCTCACACTTGTAAACAATACTTTCATTTTGCAGCCTTTGATTTGCACTTAGTGTAAAAATAAATAAAATCAAAGCCTCCCTGAGCAGTACAGTGTCAAGAGGCTTACATTGTACTGCTTTGTCCTGAGGGAAGTGGTAAGGGAGGTGACCACTTGAGATTACATTTTTTTTTTTTTCATTTTTAGAGCTACTATTTAAAACATACAGAGAAATTGCTTGATCTCCTTCATGAAGTTCAGATTTGAATATAGGTTTGATTCCTATGCTTTAACTACATTTGTCACCATAGCATCAAACTTTTTGGACCTGTGAGTCAGCACTTCAGAAATATCTCATTCTTAGATGGACACTTAGATAATTTGTATGAAGCATTATTTAACAATGGATAGACATGTCCTTCACAGAAGCCACTATCCAAAGTCAGGCTTGAAATGTAATGTCCTCTTAAGGAGCCAAGCCAATAATGACATCACATGGCACTTGCACTCTGAGAGCTTTCCAAGATCAATGCTTGAGGTCTTAAATGCATATCCATTTAAATAATGCAGAGTAATATGTTCTACAAGATTTGGCTGTAAATGGAAATTAGAAATAATTAGACCCCTTTTCCTTTGTTGCTAAATAGATTTTGTTTGATTTACAATTTCAGCACCTTCTTGTGGAATGGATACTTTTAGAAAAGGTGTTTATGATATCTAAAACGAAGGTTTTCACATGTTAAGATGCTATTCAATTTACTGTACTCTATTGTTGACCTTTACCACCTCTCTTACAGATGTGCTGAAAGACATTATGATACCAACAAATTTAGCTGCAGAGGTAAGTTGTGCATTTTTGCTGGAATGTTTCGAATTCGATCTTGTATTGCTAGTCCTTTTCAACATCTTCCCGTTACTGAAATGCAAGAGTATAGCTTTGGTGCTAGTCCTTTGTAAAGACTAACTCCAGGCAAAAAGTAATTTGAACACTAGAGATATACCTAGTCGCTTCTCAGCTGAAAAGTCCTGTGAATTCTTGTTCCCCAATCTCGTCTTTTCAGTTGAGGGAACCCAGGAGCATTCAGCCTTAAGTAACATTTTGTTTGTGGGGTCACATTAGTGGGCGGAGATGCTAAATCTCAGATAAGAGACAGTCATTATTCATCTTAGCAACTTCATGGATTGTTTGCACTAAAAATGGATGTTTAATTGAAAATGGCCTAACTAAAAAAATTTGCTTGGTCATTGAGGCATACAAAAAAATCAAGATGAACTAGCTTGCATTACAGGTATGAATTGTAAGGCTTTACTGTTTTAATTGCGTGTGGTGGTGTTGCGAACATACAATTGGTTCCATTGTCCTCAAAAGATGAGGTTGTTTGGCACCTGCCTAGACCACCCGTATCTTTTGGATATGGACCTAGACCTAAATGAATTAGATGCATGTCCAGGCATTGCCCAAATGTATCCTTAAGCCTCCTTTCCACCTCTCTAGAGCAGCCTTTTTCAATCGGTGTGCCATGACACCCTTGAGTGCCTTGGCAAAATGCCTGTAAATTGCCCAGTAAGCTGATCAAGCCTGCCTTTTTTTTTTTTTTTTTTTTTTGTTTTGTTTTGTTTTACTCAAAGCCATAGGTTTCCATTATGCATCACTACAGCCAGCCATGGGTAGTATACGGGTCAGCCACTGGCATCCTAAAAACCAGTGACGTCAGGTGGTTGCACTGCATCCTTGTTTACCCCATCCTCTGCCCCTCTATGTCTGCACTGAGGTCAATACAGGTGTATTTGCTTTGTAAGAGCTAAGTCATCTCTAATGTTGGATGTCCTATGTGTGTGGGTGTTGCTGCACTATGTAAAACTGTTAGTTTAGGTTTTTTTTTTGTTTTGTGTGTTTTTTCTTACCTTTTAACCCTGGTTCACACTGGATCCAACTTTGAAATCCTATGATTGAAACTTACACTCAGGTTACATTAATCTAAAGCCACACATTCATGCTCAATACCTTTCCTGCTGGTGGTGAACTCTGATTTTACCATCTGCATATTATAGTAGACATAGAGATTGAAGGTTGCATCCTCTTCAAGTTTTCATGTATTGTCTGTCCAGAGTGCCCTTATGAATCTTACTGCACAGCGCTTAGTTGAGTAGCTTCTGCCAATTTGAAAGTCTCCGCTGGCCTCTTTTGTTATGTATTGATGTCAAACAATCGCTACTGACTGTATTTTTGCACTGTTTTCTGAACCTTGGAAACTAGGTCTTGACAATCCCAGGTGTTCAGCAGAGGTGCTCCCCATTGCCAATAGATCATTATGTGTTCATGGCCTTGCAGAACATTTTCCTCATTCTATTGTTTGGCCACAACTGAGACTCTTGACCTTGTCTGCATGCTTCATGTATGAAGTTGCAGCTTCAAAGATATCTTGCTATTTTCAATAAAAAGCATGCGGAACTTATCAAGTTGTTACTGTGGGCACAGTTGGGGTGCGAATCTCCTGAACATAGGGATTATATTCTACGTTTTAAAGTCTAAACTAAAATAGGAAATGGAGTACTAAAGAAGGAAAGAGAACTTTAGCGGTGCATTTAATAAACAGCAGTGCCGCCTTACGATGTTGATACAGCTGTTTTCAAAAATCCAGTACGGGATTGGAAGGATAGTAGGTGCAGCAGTGGAATGAAGCAGTTGATTTGTTCTGCATGAGCAAAGTGTAGGTTCACTTTAAGAACAGTACATAGCTTGAAGCGGTATTAACCCCCTAACCAAAAGTGTCATCTTTTGCAGTTTACCAATCAGATGTGGTGGCTGCATGACTTTGGACAGCAGCATTTTCAGTCTAGGGGGTCTAGTCTAACAAATTGCTTATAAAGAGTTAGCTGGAGTTTGGCTTCAATTACAGCAAACTGTTCCTTTTGGGATAAAGGATTTACATAAATAAAAACTGAACAATGTGAGCATCCCTGTCAGTGGTAAATGGTTTGTCTCATTCCTCTAATTGCAAGAGATCTTTTCTGTTGAAAAACACTTACTGGCAGGATCACCAGATGAAAATGAAGGAAAAAAAGCCTAAAAAGAAAACTAATGTAACCATCACATCTACGGGATGGAAAGCTGCAATATGTTTGCTTTTGGGGTTAATACCGCTTTAAACTTCACCATGAGCGTTACAAGTGGGATGCCTATGCTGTTTTTACTGATTTGTAAGAGTAGAGTGGTGCTGAATAAATGTGTCCACCAATTAGCAAAACACTTTTTGTTTTTTCTTTTAATAGTTGCACAGTATCCCTTTGAAGACCACAATCCACCACAGTTAGAGCTAATCAAACCATTTTGTGAAGATCTTGACCAATGGCTAAGTGAAAATGATAATGTAGCAGCAATCCACTGTAAAGCAGGCAAAGGTCGTACAGGAGTCATGATCTGTGCTTATTTGCTACATCGAGGCAAGTTTCTAAAAGCACAAGAGGCATTAGATTTTTATGGAGAAGTTCGGACCAGGGACAAAAAGGTCTGTATAGTTCTTAATTTGACTTCAAGCTTTGTACATGATCGTTCTTGCTAATGACTTGCCAAACAAAATCACAGCAAGTCCTCTACATACAAATGTTCAAGTTGCGAACTTTCAAAGATGCAAACATGTTCTTGCATGCCCAATCATATGAAGCTGGGTACAGTTTGTTTTTTTGTTTTTTTCTGTTCAACTTTCAAGCAATGTTGGTGCATCAATCTCCCCCGCTCTACCCTTGTGTTCTTACAAGGGGACTCCCCCTTGTCAGAACATACTGATCAGCATTTACAGCCATTGTCTGCAAGTGCTGAACTTTGTTGGACTTATGAACGCACTCCCGGAGCTGAACTTGTATGTAGGGGACCTAGTGTACTGCAGGAAATATTTTGACGCATGTGTAGACTAAAAAAAAAAAAAAAAAAAAAAAAAGATTGGGTACTAGAGTTCTTTTATTTTTTATATACTTCAGCCCACTGTGCAGATATCTCATAAATCAGTGCTAAAGATGTGTGTTGAGTGCCTTTTTTTGCCTCACCGCTGTTCACATTTACTGACCACCATAGACTGTTTGGAATGTGCTTGTGTGCTGGTCCATTCACCTGTAGAAACAAGCTCTGTGTGAGCTCCAATTTGCAATTTATATTAGTTAGATGTAGCTTGGGCAGAGCTGATAAGACTGTTCTATATATTACTACAGATTGCACAGGACAACCTTGGATTCCTGGCAGGGTCAGAAAAATTTTGTGTGTGTTTTTTTAAAAAAAATGTTTTATACATTTAACAGACCCAGAAGGGAGCAAATAAAAGAAGTTAATTATTAAAGTTTGCAAACACTTCAAGAAGGGCTTACATTATCTAATTTGCACCTTCTCATTAACTTTGTTTAAGTGGTTCCAAAGTCAACGTTTTTTTTAACCTCCGTGCTATCTGTGTGGAAGAAGACGGAGAGAGACTGCTCTGTGCAATAATATTGCATAGAGCAGGTAGGTATAACATCTCTTTTTGAATTAATAAAAAATGCATTTACAAGCTCTTTAACCCTTTTGCTGCCAGGTCTAGGCTGCAGGCATTGGGATTGTGTATAAAATTGACAGACTCCTGCCTGTCATGTGGAAGCAGTCGGGCAGCTGCGCTGCCGCCTGATCGCTTCCATAGGCCCCGCTACCCTGCATGTCTCAAAGAGAACCAGTTACCTAAAAATCATTATTGCAAAAAAGGTATCTACACCTAAGCACATAACATCCCCCCACAAAAAATATTGAGCCCCCCCACACATATATACATGTACGAACGTAAACGCACACGGGTGCCTACGCGTGAAAACTTCGATTGCAATACATATGTTACATATCGCCGCACACGGCGGAGTAAGAGCAATAATTCTAGCACAAGACCACCTCAGTAACATTAAAATAATTGGCTTATAAGGGCTTTTGAAGCATCGCCTATAGAAAATATAGGGTATTGAAGTTTGTCGCCATTTTATAGGTGCACATAAATTTAAGGTTTGGAATGTTGGATATCTATTTACTTGGCGTAACCTTGTCTTTTTATATTTTATTAAAAATATGGGTGACTTATTGTTTTCCCTACAATTCACTTTAGTGTGTGTTTTTTTTGTTTTTTTTTTTTTTTTTTTTTTTTTTTTTTTACTGAAATTATGCATTTCTTAGACTTTTGTGGTAATATCGTGTGACATAAAAAATTGGAACTATCACTATTTATTCTCTATGGTGTCTGCTTTCAGAAAATATATAATGTTTTGGGGTATTGTGTAATCTTCAGACCTTAAATGACTTTTTTAACGTGTGCAAAATAAATGTATGCAAAAACTGTTCTGGCAGCGAAAGGGTTAAATTATTTAGCATGCTACCAGAAATTGAATGTATATCCAACCAGGTAGGCCCTTACCCTTCAATATTAGGCTAGTCATAAACAGCGAATTTCGGGCCTCTTCCTGATGAATTGGCTGAAAAACTTTTGAAGAAAATAAAGCGTTTTTATTCATTTCGGTTATAAAATTTTGCAAATAAATAACCTTTCTGCATAAATTTAGGTCAAATTATATTCTGCATTTCTTTGGTGAAAATAACCCAAATTTGTGTCTATTATTTAATCTGTAGCAAAGTTAGTCTACAAACTATGGTATACAGTGCCTTGAAAAAGTGTTCATACTCCTTGAAATTCTCCACATTTTGTCATATTACAACAAAAAATGTAAATGTATTTTATAGTTTTTTTTATTTTTTTGTGATAGACCAACACAGAGTGGCACATAATTGTGAAGTGGAAGCAAAATGATAAATGGTTTTCTGAAAAGTGTGGTGTGCATTTGTATTCGGCCCCCTTTACTCTGATACCCCTAACTAAAATCTAATGGAACCAATTGCCTTCAGACGCCACCTAATTAGTAAATAGAGTCCACCTGTGTGTAATTTAATCTCTGTATAAATACAGCTGTTCTGTGAAGCCCTCAGAGGTTTGTTAAAGAACATTAGTGAAGAAACAGCATCATGAAGGCCAAAGAACACACCAGACAGATCAGGGATAAAGTTGTGGAGAAGTTTAAAAGCAAGGTTAGGTTATAAAAACACTAACCCAAGCTTTGAACATCTCACGGAGCACTGTTCACTTCAACATCCGAAATTGTAAAGAGTATGGCACAACTGCAAACCTACCAAGACATGGCCATCCACCTAAACTGACAGGCCGGGCAAGGAGAACATTAATCAGAGAAGCAGTCAAGGGGCCCATGGTAAATCTGGAGGAGCTGCAGAGATCCACAGCTCAGGTGGGAGAATCTGTCCACAGGTCAACTATTAGTCGTGCACTCCACAAATCTGGCCTTTATGGAAGAGTGGCAAGAAGAAAGCCATTGTTGAAAGAAAGCCATAAGAAGTCCCATTTGCAGTTTCGAGAAGCCATGTGGGGGACACAGCAAAACACATGGAAGTAGGTGCTCTGGTCAGATGAGACCAAAATTGAACTTTTTAGCCTAAAAAGCAAAGTGCTATGTGTGGTGGAAAACTAACACTGCACATCACCCTGAACTCACCATCCACACCGTGAAACATGGTGGCAGCATCATGTTGTGTGGATGCTTTTCTTCAGCAGAGACAGGGAAGCTGGTCAGAGTTAATGGGAATATGGATGGAGCCAAATCCAGGGCAGTTTTAGAAGAAAACCTGTTAGAGTCTGCAAAAGACTTGAGACTGGGGCGGATGTTCACCTGTCAGCAGGGACAACGACCCGAAACATACAGCCAGAGCTACAATGGAATGGTTTAGATCAAAGCGTATTCATGTGTTAGACTGGCCCAGTCAAAGTCCAGACCTAAATCCAATTGTGAATCTTTGGCAAGACTTGAAAATTGCTGTTCAGACGCTCTCCATCCAATCTGACAGTGCTTGAGCTATTTTGGAAAGAAGAATGGGCAAACAATTCCCTCTCCTAGATGTGCAGAGTTGGTAGAGACATCCCCAAAAAGATTTGCAGCTGTAATTGCAAAGAAAGGTGGTTCTACAAAGTATTGACTCAGAGGGACTGAATACAAATGCACGCCAAAAAAAATTTGAAAACCATTTATAGTTTTCCTTCCACTTCCACAATTATGTGCCACTTTGTGTTGGTCTATCACATAAAATCCCAATAAAATACATTTACGTTTTTAGTTGTTACATAACAAAATGTGGAAAATTTCAAGGGGTATGAATACTTTTTCAAGGTACTGTATATATCTGACAATCAATCAATCCTGATTTACTGGCAGCCAATCTAATTTCCTGAGGCCTGAAAACACCAGGACAGTATAAATGCCCCCCAAATTACCCATTTTTGGAAAATCGACAGTCCAAGGTATTTAGTAAGAGGCACTGTGAGGTTTTTGAAGTTTGTAATTTTTTGACACAATTTTTCGGAAAATTAAGAAATTAAAGAAAATGTTTATTTTATTTTTTTTAACATATTGTCACCATTCCAGTGCAGCATTGTCATATAACTGGTGTGGCAATGATCAGGAACACTAGCCAGGGACATCCTCATATTCTAGCCATAGATAGTTGGTACACGCAAATGACAGATATCATTGAGGGAAATTTATTAAAACTGGAGCAGAGACAGAATCAGAAGTAGCTGTGCATAGAAACCAATGGGTTTCTGTCGTCAGCTTTAATCCAGGTAAGCCTTGAAAATGAAAGATGGAAATTAAATGGTTGCCATGCACAGCTGCCCCAGAGTCTCTCTGCACCAGTCTTCGTAAATTTGCTTCAGAGTATTTAATCTCACATGAGGGTTTTTTTTGTTTTCTTTTTGGTGGGTGGTGGGTTTTTTTATTTTTTTTTTCATAATTGTGTATCAAAAGACAGAGAAGTTAATGGTCATTACTACGTGGGTTATGCTGCCACCTTCAGGTGAGTAGACACTTGCCAAAAAGAAACTTGTAAAGGCGACCTAAAACTGGACCACCTTCCCGCTGAGCTGAAATCCCCTCTGCTTTATTTCCTCTCGTACTGCACTGCCAGGGAGGTTTCCCGCACCGCTACTGTGTGAACTCAGCCTATGACAAACCTGGGTTCACACAGAAGCAGTGGGGAAATCGCATGCGATTTGGACAGGAATCACATTCCTGTTCAAATTGCATGTTATTCTTTTGCGGTGCAATTTGCGTCCATTAACACAAATCACACTGCAAAGTATCGGTACTTGGTATTGGCACGCGTACTCGCTGATAGGAAGAAAAAAAAAAACCACAGGTTTCGTTGCATCCCTAGTGATTTTACTCCTACACGTTTCATGGTTCTCAAGCTAGAGACTTCAGGCCTATCCTCGATATCAATGGTCTCAACAAATTCTTGAAAATTCAGGAATGAGTGATTATTTTTCTTCACCATGGAGACTTTCTGGCATCAGTTGGCATAAAGATTTTTCTACCCACACATCCAAATTTCCCAGCTTCATCAATGATTTGTATACTTTGCAGTGGAGGATCGCCCCCATGCACAGTTTCATTTCAGTACTCTGCAGCTCAATATCCTGGCAGTATATATCAGGTGTTGGAGTTCTTGGTCAGCCAGTGCTTCTGACTCAAGACCAAAGTGGCTGTGGAATTGAGGTTATCCACGCAGATGCTGGATTCAGGGAAATCCATCCTAGTGACATGTAAGGTCTTGAGGACAGACGTTAACCTGTCAAGAACGTGGTTGTCAGAGGAGATAAAATTGTTGATCCACATCCTGGTTCCTCTGGTGATTTGGCTGGCCCTCTTGCATTAATCTGTCTGCCTTCAGGGTATCCCTGTAGGAAAAGGAATGCAGTCATATGACTGGTCCTATGCAGGTGGCTTTGTAGGGGGCATATAGGGTAATGGCCTTGTTGCTGTGTTGCCTTCCCCTTAGATTCATTGCTTTGCATCCCATGTAGTAATGACTGTTACCTCCTCTGTCTTTAGTGATGTATGATAAAGAAATAAGGATTTTTGGTTTACCAGTAAAGTCCTTTTCTTGGAGTAGATAACTGGACAGGAAGATCCTCCCCTTTGTGTTCCTCATTGCTTGCTTCAACATCAAGGCTTAGCTGTGCTGGGAGTGGTTATTCCTGGGCCTTCTTTTCTGGCGAGTGTCCATTCACCTTGTGGTGGCATCATAACCCATGTAGTAATGACTTGACTCCTCTGTATCTTCTGTACTCCAAGAAAAGGATTTTACAACGTTTTCACTTCGAGCAGCCTAAAGTGTCCTGCATTAAGTGTTTTACTAGGCATTGTCCTTTTTTTTTTTTTTTTTTTTTTTTTAGCAATGAATGAATGCACACAGTCCTTGTAACTAACTTTAATATTGTCATTGTAAAAAAGAATTACCCTTAAGCAGTGTAAGTTGTCTTTGGACTGAGCAGTATAACAAATTTCATTGCTTTGACTTTGCTGCCAATGTTTTAAAAAAGGTTTTTGGGTGTGTTTGGTCAGGTGTGTTATAATAGATTTCTTTCTTTTGTGATTTAAAAAAACAAAAGTTCAGCAGGGTACATCAGTTGTAATCCAGTGTGGTGCAGACTGCAGAATTAATGTCTTGTATATTTTTAGGGTGTGACAATTCCCAGCCAAAGGCGCTACGTATATTACTACAGCTACTTGTTAAAGAATCATTTGGATTACAGACCAGTGGCACTTCTATTTCACAAGATGATGTTTGAAACAATTCCAATGTTCAGCGGTGGAACATGCAGTAAGTAGAATGAGTGTCTCTCTTTGCTGTAATTCCAGTGCCAGACTGTATAGGTAAAATATGTATTGTATGCCTCACTGAGATTTGTTAACTGTTGGATCAACAGTGACATTGGATTCTATGAGAAAAGAAATTCCAATCTCTGAATCTGGATGGATTTGAGTTGGCAAACTGTTTTCCTTTACAAAGCTCACACAGTGTATTCAAGGCTTTGCTACTTTTGGAAATGTATTAAAGTAGAATCATAGACAAGACTTTTTTTTTTTTTTTCATTTTGGATACAGCAAGGGAGGGTTATAACCCGTCAGATTTTTTTTTCTCGCTATCTGCATTCCATCGGGGAGATTTACCTTCGCTTCCTGTCCCATAACAAGACAGGAAGTAAGAGAAAATCCCTGAAAATTAAGGGAATTCTTTGGGGACCACCAGGTCACCAGAACTGGTGTCCCCATTGGAAGATTTCCCCCTCTATTACTTTTCTGGGGACAACCCAAAATTTGGGATTTTGTTTTACTTTCATTTTCAATGATAATGGTAAACAGGACAAATAGGGTGAATCTTCCTAAGGCCTCATGTACGCATGAACTCCCCTAGACGTTAAGCTCTTCTGGCAGCAAACACCTGTAACTACGGTGGTGTGTTTAGCACTTGCACGTTTATTCATTTGATTGTCCAGAGTGTTTTGCATTGACGTGGATAAACGCCCAAGTGCTAAATGCGGCTATCGTTTACACGTATTTTGTTCTGCGTTTTGGCATTTTTTGCTCAAACCGTTCCTCTCCTGAATGTGATTCTTCTTCATTCAGGAGAGGAACATTTAACATTTAATTGCCCCTAAACTCTGCTACTCCTAAACTCCGATAAAAGCCTATGTGTACATGGACATAGGCTTTTATTGAGTTGAGCTCAGAACTTTGGCAAAAAAAACCTCACGTTTTAAGAGCAGCAGTATACATGAGGCCTTGGGGGGCAGAGACAGCAATAAAAAACCGAATAGGTGTTATCCAAAACTAAAAATTAAAGTTTTGTCCTCAATTATACTTTAAATATTTCATTCAGTATCCTGCAAAGCTCGAAGTCCTGCAGGCACTGCAAATGTTAACGTCTTTCTAAGGGGGCCAACAAAGTTCATTTTAGAAATTGTAAAATCCAGTTGTGGCAGACACTGGGGTTCAGGTGTCTTATTTTCCAGAATAGAGCTGCACTTCCTTTGTGGGAGGTATAGATCTTATGGATGCCATTTAGAGAATTCATTGTCTAGTCAGTGTACCTACAGACAAGTAGTATTTAGGTGCAATCACTGTAGCTGAAAATGTCATGTACATTGACTTCAGTTTATGAGCAGTACAGAGGCCACTTGTGCACCTAAACAATAACTTAGATGCTCCATTTGCAGGCTCAAGTACTGTCTCAGTTTGTAGGCTTCATGCACACTGGGTGTTTTTATAGCTGCTGTTTTGGCTTCTGGCGGGTTTTTTTTTTTTTTTTTTGGTTTGTTTTTTTTTTCTACAGCCAACAAACTCCCCAGCATGTTATCCTATGTGTCCATGCACACATAGGCTTTAATCAGCATTTTTTTTGGCAGGGGTGTTTTCAAGCGTTTTTTTTTTTTTTTTTCCAAGCTGTAAAATGTTCTAATGCTAGTAAATGCGGTAAAATGCAGCAAACCAGCATATTAGTAACATTTTTAAAAACGCCCAGTGTGCAGGAGGCCTTAAGTCAAGGTTAGCTTGAATGGTTTGGTGGTCCTAAACACAGCCAGTTTTGCGGGGGGGGGGGGGGGGGGGGAGGAATAAATAAAAGACACACACACACAGGTCACACTTTACTGCAATTGCATAATTCCATTCAGGTGCATTGGTGATGATTCATGGTTTCAATTTTTAACTTGGATAAAAAGGCAAGGAATCGTGCTAATTATAAATTCTATAAACATGTAAATCAAACCCAGTTAAGGAATCTGTTATTCGTTAGCACTTACAAAGGCTTTATAAGTAAGTAGTGTAAAATGTAAAGCACACCACCCCTTTGCTGTTTTGAAGCATAATAGCATAGTCATTTTAATTTCCAATCTCCTACTTTGCACTTGCATTTATGTGGTGGTGGGTTTGTTTTTTGTTCTTTTTTCTTGCTTCTCCTTCCTCTTCAGAGAACGACACCTTGATTGTCACTAGGAAATGTTTGATTTGGTTTTACTGCAAGTTGAAATTTTTTCCCCCCATATTTTGAAAAAAATGTTTCTGAACTGATAGAAAATAATCTCTGGCTGCTCCTAATCTTATGCAGCTATGATAATGAGGGTTGACTGTTTTTTTTTTTTTTTTTTTTTAGTCCCCTCCCTTCTGTTTTAAAACGTGATTTGTCGCTTTTGTGCTGATCACCACAGCCCTTGCTGTTATTTGGTCCTACATGCCACTTGTGGTTACTTCTTCTGGCTTTTTTTGCTATGGTTTAAAGCCTCCTCCCTTCCTGTTCTTAATTTGAGGCAGCTTGGTTTTGTACACCTAACCCAGCCCTAAACAGAGCTTACCTCTTGTATTTCAGAAGCTTGATATTTATTTGGCATAACAGTTGCCTTTTTGCTGGAATAGGAATAATATGATTATATTATAATTAATATAGTTGACTTCAGTGAGTACTATGAAGCATAGAGTTTAAGGACCTTTTGCCATAGATGTAGATTTTCCCTGTATGGCTTGTCTTAGCAGTCTATTTGGGAGATACAATATTGCTTTTCTAATCATTTTGTACAAAGTTTGTATATAAAAGTTTACCGGTATTTTCCTTGGCCTGTTATCTTTAAAGCAGCTTAGGCTACATTCACACGGAGCTGAGTGATTTTTAGGCTTTTTTGCAAGGGTTTTTCAGGCATTTTTGAGCACTGTTATTAAGCTGATTTGCAAATATTATAGGTGTTTTTCAGGGTTTTTTTTTTTATTTAGGCTTTTTTTGCTTTGGCAAATAGAAATAGCTTCTGCTTGAGCTGAAAACGCCTGGAAAAAAAAAATAATTTTCCATTCATGTCTATGGACACAGAATGCTCAGATCTACCTGAAAAGTAGCACAAGTGCTTTTTTGAACGACGGGGTGTTTTACTACAGGCAACAGAACTCTCAAGTGTAAACATGGGCCATTGAAAATAATGGGATTTTACTTAAGAGTTTTTTCACCTCAAAGCTCAAATGTGAATGAGGTCTTAGGAAAACAGAAATTAGAACCTGCTTGCTGTTGGTTTTAAGGCTACATTCACATTGAGATGAGTGTTTTCAGGCATTGGGTTTTTTTTTTTTTGTTAGCAGATTTTGCAAATATTATAGGCGTTCTTTATTAAGCATTCCTTCTTGATCTGGCGAGCAGTGTAGATGTTCCACTGGGGCAGCAAGTTTTGTCCCACGTCCTCTCAGGTTCTGGTGATTCTTGTCCAGCTCTTACAATAGGGATCCCTGGGATCATAGATGATCACACGATGTGTGTTTATAAGGTGTGGAGTGATGATAGAAGAGGAGGGGGGGAGCTGCTGTTTGAGCTGAAAACGCTAGAACAAATACTCAACAATACAAATTTCTTGCTTTTCAGGCGTTTTAATATAAGTCTGTTGGGACAAAAACGCTTAAATCTGCCTGAAAAGTAGTGCATGTACTTTTTTTGAGCGATGGGGTTTTGCTGCAGGTGACACGGCGTTCAAATATGAACAGGGTAAATTTTTGAAAATATGGGAGCCGTGGCTGCAATATGCCTTTCCCACGCTCCCCCCGGCCAGTGTAGGGAGGTGATGGAGTTTTGTATTGGCGCTCATGGACCCTTGCTCTTTGGTGTGTGTTTTTTGTTTTTTTGTTTTTTTTCCTCTTTCTTCTCTGCTCTTTTTCTCTCCTTTTCTGTTTGTTTTGATGTGACAGTGGACAGCTGTCTTTAGTTGCAATAATCTGAGTTTCACTGATGTTATTGTAACCTATGTGCCATTGATAGCCCCTGCGTGGGCATATGTTTTGCCTTATTGGAATTAGAGCGCTGTCTGCTCTATTATGCATTTTCTATCGGTGCAATTGATAGCCCCTGCGTGGGCGTGTTTTGTTGCCTCTGTTTTATACTGTTTAAAAATTAATAAAAACCATTGAAATACAAATATGAACAGGGGTCATCGAGCTGAAAAACACTCAAGAGCTATCAGGCCGCAGTCCCCAAACACTGAGTGTTGCCTGCCTGCTCTCAAACACTGCACATCTTATGGGAGACCTATGTTGTCAGGCAGTTGACAAGCCAGCAGCTGTCAGATTTCAGAGGACATGTGACTGATTGCTTTATTATTTATATCCTGACCTGATTCTTTAAAGGCTAAGTATACCATTAAACATATCACGTCACACAGGTATTTAGGGTTCCAGCACCCCCTGAACTTTCCCCCTAACAGCTGGTGGGGGTTCTTTCCCCCCCACAGCTGGTCACATTCAAAATTGGCATGGCTGTGTGGAGCTCTGCCTGCAGAGCCGCATCATTTATTCACAGGCATCTGCGAATGATCAAACTACAAGTCCTGTCTGTCTCCAAAGCAGACAGATTTTAACTCTCATTCGATGACTAAAAGTGCACTGATCCGCTCCTTCATAATACATTCAAACTACCGTTTGTTTGGTACAGGCATTGCATGTTGTGGAGGAAAGTGTGGCTATATTTCAACATACAGTGGGCCATGAAGAATGAATGCAGACACCCTCTAAGTCATGTCACAGCAACTAGGAGGTACATCTTTGAAGTAAGAATACATGAAGAGCAGAGTTATTTTTCAGACCTTATCTCTGAAGACTAGGCTCAGCTACCTTGTTGATGGCCATGCTGGGTGCCATAAAGTTTCCCACGTTTTGTTGGCCTTACTGTGGTGGGGGTTAATGCTAAGGAATTGTGCACTGACATCTACTGTGTGCCCTGCCGTATGCTCAGTGCTTTTTCTTTTTTTTTTTTCCTGCCATTCAGCATTGAGTAAGCTCTTTCCTACTCCAACTGCATGAGACACACAGACCTCTCCCTGGTTTGTCTCTGTTGCCTGCCTACAGTATCTTGGCCACCTTCAGCTGCCAGACTCAGATACCCATGACCCCCAACTGCTGAAAAGCAGAGGCCTTGCCTCTTATCCTGAGCATGTTGCATTGTGGTTCGAACATGGCTCATCCTAGAAGTAGGGAAAAGAGTCCCCTGCTGTACCAGGCCAGCACACTGACTAAAGGACAAGCTGCCATGGAACCTTTTAATATTCAGGACTTTATGGACCGAATATCACTGCTGATTACTAGCCCTTAATGCAAAGGCCATAAGCATGCTTCCGTGCCATCCCTTGCAAAATCTCTATCTGTTCATGGCATCAGTAGTTTCTGAGCCTTCAGCTGCCAAGACTGTGATACTGCGTCTCTCACTTCTTTAATTGACAAGCTTGAATCTGAAGGGACTCAGTCTTCTGCCATTGCCCCAAAACTTAGAGACGTTCCAGCAATTATTGATGCAGTGCTCATTGTCGCTCCCTTGCAGCTACCACCTTTGTATCTGTTTGAGGAAGACTTTGTTAAACTGCGGACTGCTCCATCTGTGACTTCCCTCCCAGAGGAGGATTCACTTATCTTTAAGGACCCCACTGACAAGCGGCTGGAAACCCCCTCTAGAATCCTGTTTCTTGCTGGGAAAACATGCAATCTGTCCTTAATTTGAGAAAACTCTGGATCACTTATCTGAGGTCCTTGGGAAGGATCTGATTACCATGGGCAGCTACAATTCTTTTGGGTATGGGTCTCTGGTCGGTGAACATGGAGAGCACTTTGGCTACAGTGTTGGTCTTCAAAGCCTGTCTGTAAAAAGCATTTTCTCTACATGACCTTTTGAAGGACATCTGTTGAGGGAAGGGCTAAATTTCCCCTTCGGATGTCACCAGCAGCAAGAATACCTAGCTTCCTCCGCAAAAAAAAAAACTAGAACAAGCTTTAAAACCCAGCAAATAGTAAATACTTCACTGGATTTCTGTCAGATAAAAAAAGTATTTATACTTTTTAAGAGCCAAAACTTGGGGAACTGTACATGTATTGCCAAGGTGTAAAGGCTTCCTTTTTTTGCCTAGACATTCACTTTAGGGAAGGCAATTCTGTACCATTTTATTTTTGTTATAGACACTTATTAGTTTTAAGTGTTGTAGTTTTATCTTTTCTGATACTGGTTTAATTGCAGACTAAAAATGGTCGACCAATTGCAATACTGTTTAAACATGAAGTGGACGGTTGTCATTTTGCAAGGTGTTTGTGCGTTGTTGCATTATGTTTCTAATATTGGGGTTTTTTGTGCTGATAGGGCAACATATTGGATGGTTGTAAACAAATGTTAAAGTGTAAATGTTGATTAGTATTTAGTGAGCATGTCTTTTTACTAAAGACATTTTTTTTTTTTTTGCTAAAATGTGTGATGTTTAATGGTCAACTGCTTCAGCCCCAAGCCATTTCTGGCACTTTTTAAAGCAGAGAACCGAGAGAATAAATTGGTGGCTTTTGCATTTTTTTTTTTTTTTTTTTTTTGTCACACTGTATTTGCACAGTGGTTTTTCAAACACAATTTTTTGGGGAAAAAAAAACTTTTTTTAATTTTATTGCAAAAGAAAAAAAAAATATATAACCCATTTTTTTTTTTTGTAAAATAGAAAAGATGTAATGCCAAATACATAGATCCCAAACGTCATGCTTTAAAATTGCGCAACGGCAACAAACTGCATACATTTTACTTTTCATAGGCAATGATTTAAAAGCCTTTACAGGTTACCTTTTTAGATTTACAGAGAAGGTCTAGTGCTTGAAATACTGCCCATGATCTTACGATCGCAGCAATACCTCATGTCTGGGACAATCTTTGTTTGCTGAATGTGTATGGGACCAACGCATTCATTCACCTTTGCATGTGAGCATGAGGAGGCGGAGCCACTGTCACTTTAAAAAAAAATTTTTTTTTCCTTTTTTTGTTGTCGCAAGGATTGTAAACATCCCCTGTGACAGTATAATAGAGTCGAGACTGGTATTTTTATGGAGGGGTCGGAGATCCCAAATCCCTCATTTAGCATTTGAAAGTATTCAAAACACCAAGATCGTTGTGTTTTGAATGCTTTCAGATTTTTGAAATGGCACTGAACGTTTGAGTAACCCGGAAATGAAACAAGGTTGCTTCTGGTTTACAATAAAGAAGAGCGGACGCTCCGGCTGGTCGCTCGGGACTACCGGTGGGACAACAGATCCTGAAAGAGTCGTCCTGCCGCTGCTTGTGTAAGAGAGCCGATCGTCCACTTTTAAAAAATGGTACCAGGGTACAACCATAGAAAATCCGGCGACGTACAGATACGTTGCTGGTCCAGAAGTGGTTAAAATGTTTATGCAGAGTTTTGGCTTCCTCATGGTCAACAATATTTAGTAAGGCCCCTTTCACAGTCTTTCCAGTCTGGTCTACATGTATTTTTCTGGGGTGAGCACAGGTTTTCCTGTGACATTATCTACTTTGGCTTTCCTTCCGCTACTGACGGGTGCTTACAAGTTTTTGTTTTTTTTTTTTTTTTCCCCCAAAACGAAAAAATCTTCTGCTGTAAGTGCAGTGTGAGCTGAAGTTTGGCTTCAATTAGTGTATCTAAATCTGCTAGCGGGCTGCAGCAATGGCAACATGTTACATGCTCCGCCCTAAAAATAGGCGTAACCAGTTCCGAAAGGTGAACTTCTCTAATGTGGATGACCGGATACAAAGCTCTGGCATGCAAGAGTTTTAAAGAGACTGGTTTACCTTTTTAAATTTTCTAGTGAGCGTCTAGATTCCTCTATTGTACATAACAAAACATGAAATATGGAGCATCTGGTGTCTGGCTTTTGTTGAAGTATTGCATGACCAGGAAATGATTGTCCCGTTACTACAACATTCAGTGAAACTTGTGTATATTGCCTCAAAACACGTGAGGTGGTTGGACACTGGAGGTGAGAAGAACTGTTAAGCCTGGGTTCACACTGATGCGGTGCGGAATTCACAGTGGTTTCACAATCACACTCTGTTCATGCGAACCACTGCTGGTGTGTATGGTAAGAGTTAGCAACACCCCAAAATCAGTCCGCAAAACGCAGTGCGATGTGCAGAATCAGATCGCATGGGTGTGAATACCCATGCATTCCAATTCTAGTGTGGACTAAATTAAGGGTCCTGCACCTCTTTGGTGTGGATGCAGTGCGATTCCAGCCATACAAAATGTGTGGCTCAAATCGCACTGCACAGAATTTGCATGTGATTTGCACAGGAATGGGGTGCGGTTCCTGTACGAATCACATGCGATATACCGCACCGCACGAGTGTGAACCCAGGCTCAATGATGGCCTCTTATACTGTAGACTGTGAGTACATGGAGGAGAGGGTTAGCGGAGCAGTGCTTTTGAGTACACCCTGTTCCCTTTGTCCACAAAGCTGTGCATATGTAGCCTTTACCTTTGACATAGTTCTCTGTTTGCCATTGTACAAGGCCTATGTTTTTACCGATAGATTTTGTTGATCTTCATGATAGGTACAGTATATTCTAAAACGTAATGCCGCATTTAAAATACCTTTTTTAGCTTCTCTCCAAGCATAAGCAGAGCGAGATATTGTCTGTTTACTAGGAACCTTTTATTTAATGTGGGGAAAAGACTGGTTCTTCAGACACAGTGATTTTCAACATTTTAGAGAAAATCTGCAAGTTTTAAAGCGTTTTTTTGATACTCTGATATGACCCTTATAGCTAATGACATTAATTGCATAAACTACTCAAATTTATTTGATCTCTGCAAAAAAAAAGTTATATAAATGTCATTAGTTTGTAGAGTGATTTCGTTTTAGTTAAAGGCTTGGTCCACCTATGTGACCATGTATCATATTACCCCAATATTTTAGGGTGGAACATGAAAAATATTCCATTTCCCCAACCCCCACTCTCAAACCACTCCCACTTACCACAATCAAGGTGTTCTTCCTCCTGCACCCTTCTGTTTGCATTTAAATTTGGCACTCCTGTACACAGCCCCACTTACACAGCTATGACATCCATTCACAGGGACCTGTGAATGGAAAGACTACAAGTCCCATTTGCCACCTTGACAGATGGACTCTCAATGGAGAAGTGCAATGACGTCATCACACTTGTAATCTATTACTTCCTCCTGCCGCTGGGAAGTGAACATTGCAGGAGCCTGTGCATTGCCCTTCAGTGCCCTGCAGGTTTCAATGCAAACATTTTTTAAAAATGCATATCTTTCTTTTAATATTGTAAGTGCATATATTATAGTTTTGCAAAAGGTAGGTTATGCTTTTCGTTTTTTTTTTTTTTTTTTTCCTGAACCTCTTACATACCACAGAATTTCTGATAAATGTCTTGTGCAGTTTATTATATTGCATATAAGGGAACATTCTAACGTTGTGCTTTTCCCATTTCTGTAGATCCCCAGTTTGTTATCTATCAACTGAAGGTTAAGATATTTACATCCTCTACAGGACCCACAAGACGTGAGGAGAAATACATGTATTTTGACTTCCCGCAGCCTCTTCCTGTTTGTGGAGATATAAAGGTTGAGTTTTTCCACAAACAGAACAAGATGATGAAAAAGGTTGGTGTTCCAGTGGCCAAAACATTTTCTGGCTTTAGCAAAGATCTAAGATGTCTGATCCCTGAAATTCTGTTTTAAATGTTAGATTGGTTATTGTGTTCTAGTTAAAAGCAAAGCTCAGCATTCTTCACATTACTGCAGCAAAGTTTATCTGCACACTGCCACATTCCCAGTACATTCCTCAGCTGGTAAAGGACTTCCTGTGTGACTCAACAATGGAAGCCGTGATACCATGTTATGTCTGAGGCTTTGCTTTTAGTTGCATTTTTTTTTTTTTTTTTGCTTTGCTGCTTAGGGAATATGAACAGAAGTATCTGTAGGATATCTATCTATTTGAGAGAACGGACGTGCCATTGCTTATCATTTCCCTTTCTGTAGTGCCTGTACATACCTCTTTATAGGCACAAGATGTGAAATTGGAGCTCAGGCTTACCTTTAATATTGACCTTTGACTTCCAGTTAAGAATTTCAACTTTTGCTTTCTTGTTACCTTGTATCTTCAATTAAAATGAAAGCAGTTGTCAAAATCGCACTAAATTTAAAAAAAAAAAAAAAAAAAAAGCAAAATGCTCATTGCATTTAAATAAATCTCATTAGAAATCCACAAGGCAATTTTAGAAAAACATTGCTTCCTGTGAAAGAAAATTTCTTTTAAATAGTATATGCCTTTTAAGGGTCATTCAGTATCAGTTTATCCATTTTTATTATGTAAAAATGACCAAATCATGCAGGATGATTAATATTTTGTTAATTACACAGACAAAACTCATAAAAAAAAGTTTTCAACTAGGGAGGTCAGCTATGTTTGCAAATATCACTTTGATTTATACTTTCCTTGTGAAGGTGCATAACCCTTAAGGATTACTGGTTTAATACATGACATTGTGTCGCTGTCTGTGTAATGTCACTGGCCACATATCCCGTGTGCCTATTAATTGCAGCAATGTTCATGGCTTGCAATGGCTTTTTTGTTCTGTATGTTGAGCATCTTTTCTAATGTAAGACTGGTGTAATGTTTGAGATGGCTTTTTTTTTTCACTGGTTACACTTTCATTTTTGCTATTAAAACCTGTTCAGTTTAACCAGGTAATTAAAATGATATAATTTAGTAAGGGCATCGTTAACACGAGCCACTAAAAGGCTCCATTTTGGTTTGCGGGGTGGGGTCTGTTTTGCCAGGCAGCAAGGGGGTGACTGGGTGCTCTGTTTCAGTAACTTGCACAGTTTTACCATTTTCTTCAACTTTTAGAGTGTACACGGTTACAGTCCATTTACGTTTCTGCACTACAATGTGCTGCTTTGATTCTATGGTGCCAATAGATGCGCTGTGGAGAAATGCAGGATAGAAAACAGTTGATCAGGTGCAAAAAGCACCAATCTCTGCACGTAGTGTGAATAGTACCTTACCTTTTAGCTGTAGTGCTATTATAATATTTCAGTAGTTCTGTATAGCTGGCTAATTTATAAAATCTGGATGTGGCCTTACTGTACTTACGGTACTTACCACAAGAAAAGGTAAAATATGCCGGCAAAGCTAGAAAGCACAGTGGTGTATTTTATGTGCTTTTAGGTTTTGCATGTTTCGGAACTACGAAGGATGCAGCGTGCTATGTATTCCCGTAAATGAGGAAATGTGATTGCTACCTCTCCAGCAATCACATAATAACTCTGGGGTTTTTTTTAATAAATCAAAATATGGTTTAGTGAGGATTTAACACGGCCTTGTCCAACAGAGCATGCAGAGAGATCCACTTTCCATTATAAACGAACACACAGTGGTTACTCCAGTGGTCATTGGAGGACACAGCACCCCAGACTTCGATGTGTGGATATGCTGCTGCTTCCAGGATGTATGGACAGTATGCAAATCAGAACACTGGCTAGCTCCTTCTAGCGGTTCTTCCCTTAGGCTTCTTTTACACTGAAGAGTTTTTGAAGCATTTTTGCATAAAAAAAAAAAAACTGAAAAGCTCAAGAAAAATGCTTCCCTATGTATGTGAATGTATATCTATGTATGTTTTCATACTGAGGCGTTGAGCAAAAAAAAAAAAAAAAAAAAAGCCCTGAAGACGCCTCTTCCCATTGAAATCAATGGAAACTGCCTAAAAAATGCCTCTGGGAAGCATTTTTGGTGCAGTTTATAAGTCGTGTCCTTTAAATTAAGCCTCGTAAAAGCGCAGTAAAAACGCCTATGCATTTTTGCAGCAGATTAGTGTGAAAGTAGCCTTACTCCACAGCTTAGCTTGGTGTACTAAGGAGGTAAAGTATTGCTCCAGCTCTACTGAATTTAGTTTTCAAACATTCTTAATAATTGGTAATTTAATGGTGAAATCTGAGATCCTGCATAGTCTCCCCAGTAGCAGAGTACAGTGTAAGGGTGGCTGTCACTGCAATAGCCATTTACACAGAATTTTCTATCTGCTCCGTAATCATTTGAAAGTAGTAGAAGTTACGATGCCTAGTCACAACAGTGGTTATATACAGCTAAAAACAATTACAACTCTAGGCCCGTTGTCTTGCAAATATTTCAGTCAGGTGTTAATTTTTCTAATAGAGATTTCCCCAATTTTATCTTTGCTCACTCTGCAGCCTCTCTATATGCTTTTTCGCTTTCCCCCTCTGTTTTTTGAATTTAGTTTTTTAGACGAAACAAAAAATGTAAACTAACCCTGCCTTCTTACATAGCAATATATTTTATTTCTCCCTATAGGAAAAAATGTTTCATTTTTGGATAAATACATTCTTTATACCTGGTCCTGAAGAGTATTCAGACAAAGTAGAGAATGGAACGTTACTTGGAGAGCAGGAACTTGATGGTATCAAAAGCACGGAACGTTCAGATAATGACAAAGAATATCTCACACTCACATTGACAAAAAACGACTTAGATAAAGCTAATAAAGACAAGGCCAACAGATACTTCTCCCCAAACTTCAAAGTAAGTCTGAATGTTTCACTTGTGCTCTTCACTTTTATAACAAACCCATAAACTAGTAGTATACTCTGGTATTATGGTATTTTCATTCACTTTTATTTTCTGCAACACAGTTGTTTTTCCCAGGTAACGGAGATTAGCACTTCTACAACCCAAGTTTGTATTGTAGGGCCTTGCCTGTAGTTAAGGAATAATTTTTAGCTAGTTGTCAATATGTTTATCCACTTAATTTATTTGCTTGTCTAATCTACAGTAACCACTTATCTAGATTTGAAACTTCATCCTTAATATACATGCAAGGGCGCATAGCCTACCTGCTTGGGGTTTGTTTTTCATCTAGGCCAGGGGTCTCCAAACTATGGCCCTCCAGGTGTTAAGGAAATGCAAGTCCCACGAGGTCTTGCAAGACTCTTGACAGCCACAGGCAAGACTCCCTGAGGCATGATGGGACTTGTAGTACTTTAACAGCTGGAGGGCCATAGTTTGGAATCCCCTGATCTAGGCATTCCTTTAGTTCACCAGACCACCCCACTGCTTTTAATTGGTGATTTTGAAGCACACCTGCTTGTGAAACTAGAATATGAATCTTGTATACGTAAGGCCCAGTTTAAAAAGTTTCATTATCATTAATCAAATTTAAGCCTGCCTTGAAAGCATGAATGTAATTGGTAATACTTGAACTGGGGGGAGCGAGACTGCACATGCTCCAGGAAGTACATTCCTATTGCCTCCACACAGACCCTTGTTGCTTTTGTGTAACACAAAATATTGGATCTGCAACCATTTTATTCTCTAGGGTCTCTGCTTTCAAAACATATATAATGCTTGGGGGGGGGGGGGGGTTTATGTAATCTTCAGGCCTAAATTTATTTTTTAAACGGAGTGCAAAAAACACAACAATGGCTCTGGCAGTGAACGTAAAGGGTCTCCGATGGACAATTTGGTCTACTTTAATTTTTTCATAGGCGTGCAACATAACCCATCTTTTATATTCTACCAAAACATTGGGTATTGTTTGTTCACCATAATTTGTGTGTTTTTGCTGAAAATATGGGTTTGATGAACAATTCTGCTCATTGCATGTGACACAAAAAAAAAAAAAAAGGAATTCCTTCCATTTTATGGTACAGGATCTTTGCTTTCAGATTGTTTATAATGTTTTGGGGTTTTAAGTAACCTGTCCTAAAACAGGTATTTTAACATGTATAAAGAAAGGGGGGAAAAAATGGACGCTGGTAGTGAAAAAGTTCAATTTCAAAAATAAGCCGGCATTATGACTTGTTGCTTCATGTAGGTTAAATATAGATACATGGCTTACTTCATAGAATAATTGGAACTATAATGAGTAAAAGCTTCTGAAGATAGAGATGGCTTTGTGTAACGTAACCAGATGCTGCTGTGCGTGTATAAGGAAACGTTCTGCTGTCACCTTAGTCACCTTTTGAGTTTTAGAAGTCTTAAAGCTTTATAGTTCAGGAGTTCAAAGTTTGCAGTTTATAGATTTGTTAGAGTATCTTTTTCTAGAGGAAAAAAAAACAACCCTCTGGGTAATCTATGTATATATTGCAGGGTTTTCTGCAAACATTGTTAGATTCCTACCTTTTTGTTGTGAAGAAACAGCTATTTGTGTCCATGTTGCAAAGTGAATCTGTATAGGGGTGATTTTATGATCCTCAATCGGCTGCTTCACCTGCAGGGCTCTATGAGATAAGAGGCAGGGTCTGCATCCCTTTTAGCTCTGTTTTAATCATTGGGAGTATCTCACCAAAAATGACTTTTTTGTTGCAGTGGATGCTCAAAATCGGACTTTTATCTTATTGCACACTTATGGGAAAATCAGTGAGCCAATCGCACAAGCAGGACATGACACATCTGGCGTTCTGTACACCACCTGTGTGCAGAACGCCTCCAGGTTGCCATACTGCAATGCATTTTACAGATGATTACAGCGCTGCAGATTGAAAAGGAAGTCATTTTTTTATAACATTCAATTACAATATTCAATTACAATGTGTAGCAAGCATTTTGTTTTTGCTATTTTTTCCCCACGAAAGTGGAGTTACCCTTTAATGCTTCTAAACTGCTCATTTACTTTGTGTATTAATTTCTTTTTGTCTTCTTTCTTTAGGTAAAGCTATTTTTCACTAAAACCGTAGAAGAATCTTCAAATTCAGAAGCAAGCAGCTCAACTTCAGTAACACCGGATGTTAGTGACAATGAACCTGATCATTATCGATACTCTGACACCACTGACTCTGACCCAGAGAATGAACCTTTTGATGAAGATCAGATTACAAAAGTCTGAGTTTTTTTTTTTTTTTTTTTTTTTTTTTTTTTTTAATCGAGGGAATTAAAACCACAGAAAGACAAACTTGAATAAACTGATAAAGGACCTTTTTAAATGGCAAATCGCATTGTCAGACTACCAGTTATAGGAGCAATTTTTTTTTTTTTCCTTGACCAATATTTTTTTGCCCAGCAGGGTTTTTGGCACTGTTGTCCAATGGAATGAGGAAAAAGGAGAGGAAAAAAGAGGAAAAAGCAAAGTACAAAAAAAGAAGAAAAGCTTACGTAACAATGTTATGTAAATATCCTTTTCGTGTCAAAAGGACATTTAAATCTTAATTAGGATAAATAAAGATGGCACTTTCCCATTTTATTCCAGTTTTTTTATGTTTGTTTTTTGTTAACCCCCCCCTTCCCAAAAGTGGAGCTGTGTATACATAGGACCCCTTCCCCCTTTTTTATTTTTGTTTTGTCACAAGTGAAGTTTATAATGTGCTTTTGTGAAATACTAGGTTCACCTCCTGCCTCTTCACAGCCAGTGTGGCAACAGTTATTTTTCAATTGGCTATAGAATGTTCAAGGGTTATTTCCATGTACGTATGTTTATTAAATGCGGTGGAGAATTTAATATTTAAAGCTGAATCTCTTACCAGCTGGATTCATGTACCATCTCAAGCTTTTTACATACTCCTTTTTTTTCTTTGTTTTGCGTGCTGCAGTAATCCTGAACATATAAGGAATTGTCCACTGTCGCTGCTTTTATTTGTGTTTTGTTTTTTTGTTTTTTTTTTCTTTTGCATAATGGTGCTAGAAAAGGCAGCTGTAGGGAGTGGTTCTTTTATAGAGGTACAGGATTGAACCATCCAGGCCATCATGAGAGGACCCACATGTGTGAAGATCTCCCACAAGTTAGCAGGGTCTCAAATGTCCTTCTATAACTTGGTAGTTCTCTAAATAAATGTTAAGGCTAGCTGCCCATGGTGAAATTTTACCAGTTTTATTTGACAGAAGTAAACTAGCAATGATTTTAGGTTCTGCAATTCTACATCTTTTATGCCAAACCGTTGCAATGATGGTTCCATCCCATGTGTAATCAAGGCCAGTGCTGAAAGTTTTGTTTTTTTTTTTTTTTGTATTTTTTTGAGAGATATTAACCATCTGTGTGCCAGGGGATTCTTTAAAAGTACACTCATGCTCCTTTATGAATGCAAGTGGAGGTGTTGGCCATAGTAGCCAGATTCCAGCTCTCATTCTTACAGTGCCACTTTAAAATGATAGCGAGTATTCAATTGTTGACACCACATCTGGCTTTTCTAGTCTCCAATTTTTATACATCAGCTTGGGTATGTTTTCAAGATGACTTTGGCTCATAAATGGTTAATCACAAAGGTCTAATTATTGCGATCTTTTTTTCCAGTCATATAACTATTGTGAATGCTTCAAGTGCTGCCTGCAAGTTTCTGCTATAGGTTTTGTCCCCCGCCCTCCATCAATATGAACTATTTTAACAGTGCACAGGAAATATCCACGTTCAGTTCTAACAGTTCTATACAAAAATTCATGCATTTATTTAATTGCATAGCTGTCAGCAAATCCACCCGTTTTGATCGTACACATTCTATTACAATGAGTTTTGCAGTTTTGCACACTTTTTATGTCATTAACTGTTAGGGAATTTTACTTGAAGAATGTTTAGTAGCTTCAATGTCTTTTTTTATATAGATATATATTTGTTTTTTTATTTACATTACACATGGTTATGAAGTCAGTGTTGCTTTAAAAGTTTCAACACGGCACAGATATAAGATGGTGTATATCAAAATTATAATGTGTCCCAAATACTCTATGTAGTTTGATTGCTATCTATTAGAATATTAGATCTTTGAACTGGCAGTGTTATATCACTGATCACAGGTATTGTGGTCTGGTATTCCACTTTTTTTTTTTCTTCTTTTGCCAGGCTGCAAAAAAAAAAAAAAAAAAAAAATTAAACAGGCTTTTAAAATCAATTTCCAGTTTCAAGTTCACACTTTCAAGCTCCAGTTCAAATGCTAAAAAATTAATCTTTTTGTGAAAATACATTTCATGACAGTGTAAAATCCCATTTGATATAGTTTATTTATACTATGACCTACTTAACATTGGAAACTGTAATTCAAATTAAAGTATTTGGAAGGACTTTTTTTTTTCCTTAAGATTGAGAAGCCAGTGTTATTCATGACTGTCAGAATTCAGTTTAAAAGAATGGAGGGCTGAGTTTTGGATTTACATGTGCATATGAGTGTCCTTGGAACCAAACACCTCTCGTTCCACTTATGGGTTGTTTAAAAGATTGTGATTCGTAAAGACTAGGTTAAAACACTTTTGGCCTATGATAGTTTTCAATCAGAAAATAAACTTACTGACTAGCTGTATGCAATCTTTGCTGCAGTTTTTTTTTTTTTTTTAAATATCCACACCTCTGCCTTTTTGGTATGGTGGTGGATATAAAACTTTTTTTTTTTTTTTGTTCCACTTTAAAATTTTCAATTTTCTTTGCCCCTTTAGTGCAACATTTAAGCTTGCAATTTTTTTTTTTAGGGGAGGGGGTTGTTAATATATTAGTTGATACCATAGGCAGCCTTCATTTACAATTAAAATGGAAACGTTCGGCAGCTTCAATCCCTGTCTTAAAATGCATAACCCAGTTTAGATGTATGCTAAAAGGTTAGGACAGTGTTGTAGCCCTTAAGGCTATTGATTGATTGGCTACCAACCAGAATATGTTACTTGAATAATAGCACTTGGCCACACTATAAGATGAGTGGGCCTCTTGCATAAAAATTGAGAGGAGGAGAAAGAGTTTTGCCCACAGTTACTAGATTCGTGCTGTAATTTTTTTTATGGTCTCTAAAAAGGGAAGGCTGTTTTCTAATTGGCTGCTATGAACCATACCTCTGCTTTTCCCTTCCTCCATTTTTATATGTGAGGCTTTATTTTTTTATGAGGCGGTATCTTGGCACATTATGGTAAATGAAAATTCTCAGTTAGTGATGGTGGATCACATCAAGACTAAGCACAGTTTGATTTGACAGCTCAGTATGACGCACTAAATATGCTGTACATGATGTTTTGCAACACAGCTGCCTATTGATATTGAAAGCACTTTCAAACTTGAGGGCCTACAAAAAGTAAATCCAAGTATAGCTGGAATTTTATAGGTCTTAATATCTTAACTTAGAATCCTATCAAAACGGCATATATCTATGTCCACATGGCACTTAATATTCTAAAGTTAAATTATCCATTCAGTTTTTTGGACATTCTATATGGCCTCATAAATTAACGATGGTTCAGCTCATTTGTTGCCTTACTGACATTGCCAGGAGTGAAGACTTGGCATGGACAAACAGATTGCACTAGCTTGGGGAGTCACCAGTGATGCAGACATGGACATTTATCCTTTTTGTCTAGTACATATTTTTCCTATTGCCTCACAACTATTGTGTTTATATAATTACAGTTGATCTTGATTTACAGAAGGGTAAATCATGCAGCCAAAATTATGGGATTTTGCACTGTTTTTCCCCCCTTTAAAAAATGGAATCCATTTTTTAATTTTTAAAGAGTTAAAATATTTTTGAGAAGCCTCGCTAACATTTAATGGTATAGTCATCCGAAGTGGGTAAAAATGGCATTATATATGTATAAATATAAAAAAAATATATATATGACATACTCTATGCGTTTACTTCAGTTACCATCCCCCTATATTTTGACAAGAATTTTTTTTGACTGACTGATTTGCTCACTCCTTCCAGTTTCTGAAACAGTCTAACGATGACAGTATTTTTTTTCCCCCCTAAGCCCATTATTGAGTTCTGTTTACTATTCATGATGGTCCTGAGACATTGTGGCCTGTAGAACTCTGGGTTTTTTCTAGAATTAAATCATTGCTTTGGGTAGTGTTGACACACTGTCAGGGCATGCAGGTCAATCCAAACACTGAACAAGTACCCCAGTCTGATTTTTGCCACAGAAAATAGTTTTGTACATAGCATCCATGGTGTTCTTGTTCTGTGGCACAGGCCATCAATTTAAGTGGAGTTGACTGGGGATGTGTATATAGATAATGATATATATATATCTCCAGTACATTCCCGTATAAATTTGTGCAATATGTCTAACGATGCCTGTGGTTGCCACAAAGTGCCTCGTTTAAATTTTTTTTTTCTCCTCGTTGAATACTGTTAAACTTGTCATGCATGCAAATGGAATGGGTGGAACTGTGCACTATTAAGAGGCTACAACTGGAGATGGGAATATTCTGTCCTGTCATTCTAAGCTCAAATTTTTGAAGAATTCCCTGTAATGTTTTTATTATATATACTTTTCTCTCAATCGGTCAGTCTTCTCTCCGGTTCAGCCTCTTTCAGATACTATTGTGCTGTGCAGCAGTGGCTCTGTGTGTAATGCTATGCACTGAGAATATACAACAAATTACATGTACAGGATAATGCCTCATACAAATTCACATGTCCATTTTGTTATTGTATGTGTTAACATCCCTTTATCTTAGTGTTATAAACTCCACTTAAAACCAATTAAAGTCTCATTCTTGTCACTGTGTGGGTGTTTTATTGGAAAGGTGTATACCCAAACTTCAGTTTTTACTGGTGTATTATAGTGCTCAATTGTTTACAGGGCCAAGAATGTCCCAAGTTCTCTACTCCAGTTTCCAGTGTTTTGTTGTGGTCTTAGCCGAATAAAGCTGAAAGATGTATATGAAAATATATACAAAATAAAAAAGTATATTTAAAAAAGCCAGTTCACACACACAATGTTTTTTCTTGATGTTTGTTTACTAAGGGTGTTTATGTTTAAATATATTTTCTATAAAACTATATCTTGTTTAATGCACTCCTAGGATTATCTGTAACTAGATTTTAGTCTGTTGTAGTTAGGTCAGGTTGCTGCTGATGGGATGTTGCAGTGTGCTTGTGTTATGAGACTGTTGTGTTGCCTGTGACCGAGGTTTAG